AGCCAATAATAGACTTAGGGGTTGAATTTCTTGCTGAAATTAGACTTACAAGAGGAGAACAGGGTCAAACGAAGATTAAAAATGTTCCAATTGCTATGATCCCAGGGGGATTCTGGTGTTGCTCCTCTCCTTTGTCTTCCAAAAGTCACTCAAGACACAGAATCATGTAAACAAGCCCAAATAATCTCCTCTGGATCCTAGTAGTTAAGTTCAGAAAAAGAAAATCTCGAAAAAGGAGAAAAACCCAGTGCAATTGTATAACGATATCAAAGTATGAAAACTCGCAAGGAACTAGTGTAATTTATAAATTATGTCATTTTTAATATTGTCGTAATATTGTTTTATATTTTTATAGTCATTAAATTCATGGCCAAAAAAATCAGAGTTTGGCGTTGATTAAATTGTACCCGCACTGAACAATATACTTGGCTCTGCCCCTGCTTCTGCTACTCGACATTTCGATTCCGTTAGAAAATCCTCCAGATGGTATGTTGACTTCCGCTTCTGGTCATTAGCTGGAAGTTTTATATGAATTCGCGTATTGAATTCCTACTTCCTTTCCTGCCTATGTTTCGACAATCCTGAGAATGTATTTTGTTTTAATAGTTCTACAAATGGATTGGATTGGATTAGATTGATTGTAACTTGCTATTCCAATAGTTAAGTTTTTTGCTGGCTATATAAAAATTTCGACTGAGTTTATTTTTGATTCTCTATATTGAGAACTTGGGTGTTGATTTCATTTTAAATTTTAAATTTTGTCGCAGAAGTAAAATTTTGTAAATTCACAGTGGATTTCAAAATCTGAGCAATGAATCCGTTAACATTGGTGAAGCGTATTCAAAACATCAACAAGAAAGAAGCAACGCTTGGCATATCTGAAGAGGCATCTTGGCATGCTAAATATAAAGACTCCGCCTATGTTTATGTTGGAGGGATCCCCTTTGACCTCACTGAAGGCGATCTCCTTGCAGTCTTTGCTCAGTATGCTCTTTTGTCTTTTTATGAATCCCCCAGAAATAGGTACTTTATACCCCTATTTTTTTTTGTAAGATATTGCCTTCTAATTCAGCAGATTTTATCTTTTAGGTACGGAGAGGTTGTTGATGCTAATTTAGTTAGAGACAAAGGCACGGGAAAATCTAAAGGGTTTGCTTTTCTTGCTTATGAGGATCAAAGAAGTACAATTCTAGCCGTAGGTAAGACTCTTTGCACCTTGAATCACATTTCTGTTTCCGTAGAACTTGCCAAAGAGTAATGCGAACACTGTCCATAACATCGTATTGGTTGAGTGTATAGATAATCTCAATGGAGCTCAAATTCTGGGTCGAACAATTAGAGTTGATCACGTGAGTAACTACAAAAAGAAAGAGGAAGAGGATGAGGAAACCGAGCGGAAAAAGAGAGAGGAACGGGGTATTTGTCGAGCTTTTCAAAGGGGACAATGTAATCGTGGAGATGGCTGCAAATTCTCTCATGACGAGCAAGTAAGTTTTGGTCAACAGTACATCTATTTGATTTCCCTTTCGTGATTAGGATTAACATGCTTTATAATTTTTAAAATTCTGTTCTTTCATTTTTCCTCAACTCTTCTTCCTTGAACATGTCATTTTCTGATTTCTTTCACTCTTCTTCCTTGAATACGTCGTTTTCTGATTTCTTTCACTCCAGAATCATGTATTTTGAGTGACTGACAAATGATTGGCAGAGTGAAAGAAGTTTATTTATCTATAGAAGGGAAGATGACTTAAATTAAGAATACCCTTTCTAACCTCGTGATATTGGCTGTGTCTTTATTCACCATTATTCTCTCTATTGATGATGGACTCGAACAGTTGCAAAGAAACTTTCTGTTGTATAGATGGATTGCAATGCAAAAGAAGGTAATTGGTGAACTAGGAAGTGTGAAATTTGCTAGCAGTTGTAGGGGTGGGTCTGTGAGCAATAAATCTAGTTTTCTTTAACAAAGTGCTTTTAGGAAAATAATCGTGAAGGTCTACTGTTGAGAAGAATTCGCTCAGTGAAAAATTTTTAGCTGTTAGAAAATGTTCAGCCACCTCATGTAAACTTTTGTGTTCATTTAGCATTTGTCTTCAATATGTCCCCACATGTGTAGGCTGAATTAATATTTTACCTCCAGCTTTGTTGCGATATTTGTAAATGGGTTGGGCCAGTGAGGGTGGGTGGGGGGTTAGAATTGAATTTAGGATATTTTCTTGCTCTCTCCTATCATGTTGAACCACCTCTAAAACCTTGACTGCATAGTGACGAAAAAATTGTTCAAGTGAACTTTGTCTTCAACATGTTATATCTAGGACGGATTAATGTTATCTTTGGTATTTGTCAAAGTGAGTTCATGAAATGATCTCATGGATGGAAGTGGTGATATATAGCCCTTGTTTTGAGCTCCATTTTTTCGAAACTAATTTTCAACCACACGGTCTCCCATAAAATAACATTACATGTAAAACCAAAACTTCTCTTTATTTTTAAACCACCCATTTTCCAAAAAATCATTATTCCAAAATACATTTTTTCCCCAAAAAAAAAAAGAGAGAGCTCATTTTAATGGAGCCCAAACAGTGGCATAGCTTTCATCCACATATAAAAAATCAGGTAGAGACAAAAACTGTTAGGAGTTTGTGGTTGTTTTTATCTCCTAGTGTTACTGGATAATTTGAATGCCACGCAATCCTTCAATTACTCAGGAAAAATATGACCTATTAGTTTGCTGGCTTGAAGGACCGTGCACCCAGGCTTTGTAGCCTGTGTTCCTGGATAATAAATTCTGAAAGATTCAACATTCAATTGCTGAATAATTTGTCTCGTAGTTTAAGCCATACTAAAAATTCTTAGCTTTTTAGAGCCGTTTTAAATTTTCCCAGCGATCGTGTTTGGTAGGTTTTAGGTGTAATATGCTTTTTTAAAATTTTTGTAGAGATTGGGGATAGCAGGCCGTGTCTATCATAGATGCTTCGATTGTTAACTTGTTGCATTGTTTGAAAAATAGCTGTTTGATTGGAGTTTTTTACTTGATGTCAGCTAGCTCACTCGAGTGTTTTCTATATGCATGTGCGATTGTGCGTGCTTGTATGTATTCCCTCAAGCATGTATGATCTAAGTTACAAAAGCAAAGAAGATTTTTTATAGATTTTAACTGAACCCTCCCACCCTTGCTACACATGTCCAAATTACACATGGTCATTGTATTTGTTTTGGATTATCACTTTCTACCAATATATTGGATTTGCTCATTTGTTGGAAGTGATGCCTGAAAATGTGTTCCATCAATGGCTCCAAAACAATCTTATCTAGAGAAAATAAAATAGAACAAAATAAAGCAAAAATAATTAGAATACATGTTCTCAAATGAAATGAAATATAGGCTAATCTTCATCATAATTATCAAGTGGTCTAAATTATTGTAATGCGAGATTAACCTTTTTTTCCCTAGTGCAATCCCAAATTGTCTTCTTATTGTTTCAACGTTGAAACCTTTCTTGAATCATCCCCTTACCAATACCATGTCCTAATGTCATAAAAAACATGCCTACTGCCTCTTCTAGTTGCATCCTTTACTTGAACCCAACCCATAACTTCTTAATCCGTCACATAATTGGTAAAGATGTTTTTCCATTCGAAACATCTCATGACATCACATATCATTTCCATTGAGTATCTCCATAAGGAAATTAATTCTTGTTCTGCATGGTTCTTTTACCAAAAAAGTGTTGTGATGTTGCACATTGTAGCTGCAGTGGCAAGGACAAGTTCATAAAAACCTGTTTCATCTCTTATAACCTGATTTATGTATTCTTCATGTAGCTCTTCATCTGATTCACCGTCCATTCTGTAATCATATAACCATGAATAAAATAATATAAGTTCATCAATTAAGAGGACAGTACATATTGAACACATTTTGTGGAATGGATAAACTCTCTTTCCATTCAAAAAGAGTTATTCAAAAAGGCTCCACATGTTTCAATTAGAATAGCCTTCCATTTGATATATCAGAATAATTGCGCATTGCACCTTAACACAAATAAATAGTCTATTGTACTCCCTTTATAAAACTACCTTCAAAAAACCCTGCATATGTTTTTTCTGGTTCCGCTTTCAAATACTCTCCCTGTATCTGCCTAACTCAAGTCAGGATACGTGTGGACACTTTATTGAAAACACAATCTAAGACAAACCAAGAGACTCAAACTGAAAAGAAGGGAGAGTATGAAACATCTTACATTATAAAAAGAGAATGAAAAAGTATATAGGAGGAACTCTACGGATGTAGCTATTTGGCTTTTATCTAATGAACTAGAATTTGAAAACATATAGATGTATCTTCTCATGGAAACCCATATAAAAAGTTTTCTACCATTCTTGGACAGCTGCGACCAAATCCTAGAAATAGTTTGCTTGGGGGTTTTCAAGGACAACGTAAGCTGTCTCAACAGTTATGGTAAATTAAGCATGTTTCTGTTCTAGTATCTTCATTCTAGTGAGTTAGCAAAAGCCGCACCAATTTTGCATTAGCAGCTTTCTCCTAGTGTTTTCCTTTGCTATCAAACACACAAAAATCATGAGAATTCTCCTATATTTTCCTCTTTAAAACCAACATAGAAACATAATCATATGTGGGAGCACATTCTATAAAATCTTGGCAGAGGCACTTGCTTGATCTAAGAAATGTATAATTGGGATCTTCTAAATTTAATTTAATTGAAACAGAACACTAATACCATGAGAAGCTCAGCACAACAAAAAACACGCCAAATAGTCACAGTTAGTATTTCAAGTTTCCCTCTTAAAACAAATAAAACTGAAATGATAAATTCCTAGTTTTATGGCTCACGTCGACATTTTTAGAACGTATGGTAACAATTATATTTTGAAAGGAAATTTAGAGGGAAAAAATGGTAATACACTATACCAATTTGAAACTACCTGCTTCACTTCCTAGCATTAAAGGGGTTCTGCTGAGTACAAAGCAATACGCCAATTTGGGGAAAAATGAATCATAGTAGTTTAATTTTTCGTAACGTTAATGAAAAATGATAACATAAATAATTCAGAAAAAAACAAAATACTTTAAAATCATGAAATTGTACATTGGTGATGAAATTCTGGGCTAGGTTCATCCAGAAAGTTCCCAAGAGCTGAAGCTGATTGTAGAGACGAAAGGAATGCAAACATGGAATTAAAGAAAGAGATTAGGGATGGAAGAAATGAGGAATTGGAAAGGTTGTGATTTTTAGGATTGGATTGGAATTTTATATTGTTCTTTACAAATGGAAGGGTTTTTTAAAATTTCATTAAACTAGAAAAATGACTTCCCTTTTTTTTGCGGAAGAGCTTTTAGAGGAAGCCATGTTTGGGTTAGCTTCCTCTAAAAAATCTTCTAGCTAGAAGAAACACTTTCATAAATTAACCAAATGGGTCCTAAGCACTTTTGGGTCTCAAAAGCTCCTTTTAGCTTTCCAAAAGCCATGTCAAACGGGCATTACAAAGTCACATTTAGTTCACACAGTTCGCCAAAATTTGCTTCGGTCTTAAGGTGTGAGATTTTTCATCGCATCTATAATTCACATCTATTTAAACTACTCATTCTATTTTACTAGTATTTGACTGAGGATTCCCATAGGCTTTATTTTAACTGTCATCTATTGTTGTACCCAGCATGGTAGTTCAGGAAGGTGCCAAACTTCGTGACTTTTCCTTTATATTCATAGAGGCTTTAACTATCAACTATTTTTTATGCAAATTCGTGATCTTTTACTTTGTAATGTGACTGAAGACTGAAGTTGAAGACATGCTTAAACTATGCTATTTCAGTAGTTTACTATACTGTGAACTGGTCACCTTTCTTTGTGGCTTGAAGGGGTGTGTGTTATTTGTGGTGGGGGTCGGGGGGGTTAGTGTAGTATTTTAATTTGCCTTGCAATTTTGTTTGAATCACGTTGTGATAGATTCATTTTTCTGTATAATGGCTATTGTCAGCTTATGTTATTGCACACGAGACTGTAGTACCCTATTATCTCTCGACTCACTTGCCTTTATCAAAAATGCAGAGAGCCGCAAATACAGGTTGGGGAGCTGAAGAGGATAGACAATCAAGATGGGTTCAAGACAAATTCGAGGGTTCAGCAAGGGGTGGAAGACTATCTGATCTGTCTAGTCGGGTTCCAGAATCTGCCACTCAGAGAGGGCACAGATATACCGACCAAGATTCACGTAATTCCCCGGGAAAGTTCGGTGACACGGACAGGAAAAGATCCTGTGAAAGGATTGAATCAGGTGCAAAAGATTTGGACAGAAGAGGTGTAGATAAACACGGAGAGAATATAACGAAGCATTGGGACAAGACAGACAGTGATGAAAGGTCAAGGAGAAATGATGATGAAACAAAGTCGAGAAGAGATTATGATCGGAGAGATGAAATGAGATCGAGACGATACGAGTCTGAGTCCTATCATAAAGAAGACCGATATGGCAGGAGAGGGGACGGTAGGTCAACTCGCGATGATTCGCACCACCATCAGAGGACAGATGAAGAAGGGCAGTATCAATCACGTCGACGATAACTTTGACTAAATCGTCTACACTTGAATACGTTGAAATTTTTTTTTTGTTAATTTTTACCAAGATTTCAGTAGTAATCATGAAGGATTATGGCAAGCATGTGCCCTTTTTCTTTAGTTTGAAATTTTGATGGTAAATTCTCGACAAAATTATTGCATAGTTACCTGAATAAAACACAAGTACAGAACCAGACCATTTAAAATTTTTAAATATAATCAAACCAACGAAATGTTGGGGACACTTGTCTCAACCTTCCATTTTTACACCCATATCTCCAACCTTTTAAAACTATGATACTCATGTCTCCAACTAACAGGAAATGTTTGTCTGAATGTTAAATAACCACATAAAGCTTTCATGATGCCGGGAATGGGCTGAAGCAAAGGGACGAACATGGATGAATTTTACTCCAGTTGAATTTCTGAAAGAAAATTAAAGTCACTATTTGGTTTGGTTTTCAATAAAGGAAATCTTTTTCAGTTCTGCACATACAAATTGAGAAGTGACATCTCCTGCACTCGCTTCTCCAAGAGAAGACTCGATGGATGAATTGAGATGATCCGATTGATTTTGAATCTGTGCCTGAACAGTTGAATCATTCGCCATTTCAAGGAAGCTTCAAAGCTCTGATACCATGATAAGTTGTAGGGAATTCTAGAAAGAAGAAGAAGAGAAAAGAGGCGGGAGATTCTGTTATTCCATTACACAAATGAAGTTTGCCAGCTCAATGTATATATACACAGCAATACGACCAACTACTACAAGTCTACAACTGAAAGAAAAAAATGTACAATTACATAAATATCCTCTGCTTATAAGGAAAATAATAATTATTAATTGCTCTAATAGATGTGAATAACACTTTTATAGTTGATTGCTTTTGTCGTAATTATTTGTAATCTGAAATCGGATTCGTTAGAACCGGAACCCGGTCCAAATAATGCGAAATGTGAGGAAATGATTGTTGAATAATTTTAATTTTTTACTTTTTTTGCTCAAGATTTTAATTGCACTGAAGGTTCTCAAGCTTTTCTTATTGTAGTATTTAAATTCTTACATTTTTTTTTCGTTGGATTTTTAAGTTCAAGGTATTGAATAATTTTGATTGAACATGTTAATTTATGATCAATGAAAATTAATTTATTATAAAAAATATTGTACATGCCACAAGTCAAAATTATTTCTTCCAACGTTTCCTCCACTTTACCGACATATCTTTGGTGTGCTCCAACACTTTGAACGATCGGACACTATGATACCACGGTTGAGAATTTAGATCAATTCCCTTTAATTTCTCCACACGACTTCTCTCTTTTTTAACTTTTATGTTTTAGTATTGTTTTCATTTTCATTTGTTTTTTCATAGTTAATAGTCGAGCACATTGCTTTCGCTTTTGTAATATAGGTGATTTAATAGTCGTGCTTGGCTAAAGAATAAAAACCTTGGTCCACTTTCATTTGTCTAGTCTGCTCATTTCTTATCTCTTTCTTCTCTATCGTAGAATTCTGGGAATGAGTGCACCAGGGAGGAGAAGAAGCAGGAAATAGGGAAGTAGAATAGTTGGCACACGTCCCCAATGACAAGTCTCCATCTGATAATTCTGTAGAACAACTGTTAAGGACAGGGGAGGACGCAGACCTTAAAAGTTAGGGTGGCACAATCAAACTTGCAAAGAAGTTGAGAGAAATTTTATAATAGAAAGTTTACGTCCAAAAAAATCACACCCTATGTAATTTTACATCCAAAAATTTACATGGGATATGACTTTTTCGGATGTAAAATTTCGAAATTTTTCGATGTCATATTCCATATAAAATTTCCTAATAAAATGATGAAAATTACATTGAGAAATTTGTATCGCAAAAATAATAAATGTTAATGAAATAATTGAATTTAAAAAAAATGCGAGTTAAGACTTTTTCTTGTAAGACTCACGTTTAACGTATTTTTAACTATTTTCGATATCTGTTTGGACCATTCGATATGCCCATAATGTAGTTCTCAAAATAAGCTTTGAGATGACATAAGCAATTAGTAGATTCGATTAGCTTACGATCGTTGGAGAATTTTTAAAATTAGCATGTTATCGAAATTCAAATTTATTGTGATTTTGCCCCTATTTGGTGGAGATTAAAATCAAATTTTTAGTAAATTTTGATAAAAGTTAAACAGTTATGGATTCCATGAAATATTTTATTAAAATTAATTGTTAACTTTGATTTAAATTAAAATTTAGATTTCAATCGATATCAAATACGATTTTATATATATAAAAAAAAAACTCAAAAGTTGAGGGGCACTTGGCCCCCAGGACCCCCTAGGTCCGCCCATAACTACAAGCAAGAAGTTGACAAAGACAACCTTTAGATGATGTTGTGACACTTTAGTTAGGTAAAGCTGTGTTGGCTGGGGCGAACGAAATTCAATAGAGGCACGAAGAGGGGTTTACCAAGTGAAGGGTCAAGTGCGACTTTGTTGATTAATAGATTTTTGTACGAGATACCATATTTTAATGATATGTTTTCATCGTTTTTGTACTTAATAACTTCTATTACTTTATCTTTCCATGTTTTAATGAAACAACATAACATTAAAGAGTTAAGTATTATTTGTCTTTTTCCAAAATAGATTATTATTCTTGAAAAATGCCTCGCCAAATTTTTTTGTCTGAGATCTTCGAATCGCTTGAGCTTTCTCTGTTCAAGAATACTCTCATGCTTGTTCTTACACCTATCCAACCTGCACCTTCTCAATAATATATTTGAGAAATCGATCCTTGAGTTTTTTTTCAATTTTATAATACAAATATATTATCCAATTTTTTTAAAGTTTTTTTCATAAATTTTCTCCCACTTCTGATGATCAATGAGTAACTGGAATTAAACATAATCTTTCAATCATTGAACTATTTTTGTATGTTGTCCAGACATTCAAAATTGTTGTGTGTGACGCATAGTGATCCTTACATTGTGAAACGTACGGTATTTTGAACTTTTTCGTTGAACTTTTGTCGCATGTAGCCTAAACATTTAAAACTGTCTAGTCGATTGTCGTTCATACTTGACCTAACATTTAAAAACGGCATTTTTAACTTTTTGTCGCCATCTTCTGCTCATTTCCGCGCCAACCCCATTTATTCAAGTCTATCAACGTATGTAAAATAAATACATTTTATGGAAAAGTAAATTC